CTCGTGTTGTGTATAATTTCGGCGCCGTGGTTCCAAAAACGGAAAGTTGCGTTGACGAAGAGGCCTCTCAGGGGCATGCATATTCAGCTGAGACAGCAGTGTTGGACAGTCAATGTCACCCGTTAGCAGCTTTCCAGCGAACATAGCTGGAGCGACCGTCCGTCTCACCTCTAATGGTTCGAGTCCCAGGAGACGGCAACGCTCCTCGTACGGTGGCAAGTTCGTTGGGTCACGCCAGTTGAGGAAACAAAAAGCATGTCTCACAAATTTGCGTTGAACGGATTCAATTCTAGTGATCCAGCTAGCATGGAAAGGGCACCAAGCAACTAAACTTGACTCCAATAAGGATCGCACTGTATGCATGATAATGTTTGCACCATTGAGCAATGTCAAAATTAAAACAATTCTCAAAAAACTCATTTTCGGTTTTTTTTTATTTATTTAAAGGGGGATGTTTCTCAAAGCCTTAAACTATGTTAATCATCGATCTAGTTTCCACTTGCTGCAATTACGGCCTCCACACGCTTTCGGAATGCACGGCAGGTTCTAATAAGGCTTGCTGTACTCGGGTGGTGTTTAGAACAGGCCTTGGCCTTCATGACGCGCCATATTGAGTAATCCAGTGGATTAAGATCGGGGCTAGATCGCCACATATCCTTCGCCCAGAACGGAAGATGTTCCTGAAACCACTTCTGAGTGCGGTTCAAGGTGTGGCACGGAGCCCCATATTGTTGAAATACAACATTTGGCTTCGGACCGTACTTTTCTTTGATCCACGGAAGAACATACTTACTTAAAATCCTGATGTAGACCTCCGTGTTGACCTTGTCGCCTTCTGGAATGAATACCGGGTCCCTTTTTTTGCCATCGGAAGCCACCAATCCAAACACCATAACGCTAGCAGGATGCTTGGTCAGATGCACACTGTTGCTCGTCGGTCACGTCTTTTACCGGAAGAGAACTAATATACCGGTCGGTTCTGGAATTTGATACGGGATCGACGGTAAACATGCTCTCGTCGGTGAACATGATTACCGGATTTTTTCGCTCAAGAAGTTCAAGATTTTCTTGCACCGTTTGACTCGTAGCTCCCGGGTGCGGTTGGTTATCATGGGAGTTTTTTTTTTCCGTGCCCTCGACTTCGCCCCGCAATCTTCCTTTACGATCTTCCGTGCCGTAAAGTCACTGATCCCGTGTTCCTTTGCCATTTTCCTTATTGAACGCGCTGGATTCACCCGAATCTTCCTTTTGATAGCAGCGATAACCCTCGGAACCCGAGCTAACCTCGGACGACCTGTGGCCACCTTCGCGGATAGTTGTCCTTTCTTTTCTCGGTCTAAAACCCTTTTGACGGTTCACCGGGACACTCCCATGGCGATTGAAATGTCTTTTTGCGACATTTGCGTGTGGGACAAATCACGAATACGCTGCCACTTCGTCATGGTGCAACTGTCAAACAAAATAAATCATTTTCTTTTATACACACTGTGTATTACACAGCCTACTACGGTATGAGCTATAGGTTACGTGCATGCAAAGAAAACCAAGGCATTGTACGCACATGTGAAACGGGAACCTTATTTGTACGATGTTGCAAACATTATCACGCATACGGTAGAGTGACCTGAAGCATAGCGGGTCACGGAACTCGTGGGCAATTTTGAAAATAAAGCCCTAATTGTCGATTAGCTCTGGAGATGATGTCATTGTAGTGGATTCTGAAAGTGAGTCTGCAGTCCAAGGTAACGCCGAGATCTTTTATGTGCTCTACACGAGCAAGACAGCGTCCGTAGAGAACATAGTCAAACATAATGGGTTCGATTTTTCGGTGATAGGAAATAAGGTTCCTTTTTTCGATGCCAAATTTCTGGAGCACCAGTCAGTAAAAATACCTTACATATTCTGGAGATCCCAACAGCCCGAGAGACTTTTAATAATTTTGTATCGTCTGCATAGAAAACGCGGCATTCTGATGGTATCAGAAAGGCGACGTCGTTTAAAAAGATCGAAAACAGTAGCGGTCCTAGGTAGTATCGTCAAAATCGATTAGCAACTATCCAAATTGTTCATCCATGAGTCCCTGAAACATTAAATCTGTTATGTCAGAAATGACGTTTGACTTCAATTTGGGTGGACCACAAATCAACTAACGGGAGCCCAACTAAAACGTAGTCCACTAAAAGATAGCCCAACGAGCCAAATTGAGATGTTTTGGGAGGAAGGGTCTCTTTCTGAAGAAGTGTTGAGAACAGTGTATACTGTTAATAGAAAAAATAAAACAATGCACACTGAAAGAAAAACTCTCGTGAATATTGACAACATTTCTTATGAATATTTTAAGCAATATTTATTATTTGCATTAGAATTATTGTGTAGCAAGTACAACCATCCTCTACGCCCGTCGAACTCGATAAATTTTCCAACCTGAAAATTATTTTAGCGGACCGAGAGTCGAACTCAGCCACCTCCAGCATGGTCTTACTTTTTAGCTCAATAAATAAGTAACATTTTGACCATTAGCGGCTTCTCAATATAGAACGTTGTTAACGTGATTCAAGTAAAAAAAAAGAAATCCATTTTGAAGGCAACCCTCTCTTCTAAATACAATTCCCACCCTTTTGTGATCAAATTGAATGCACAAATCTTGATGATTAACAAAATAAAAACAGTGTTCACTCGGCTGTTTAAAGAAGCAGGTCACTCTCGATGTGTGTCATGCGATCGCCTGTTTACTCGGCATCAACCATTGAGTGGCCTTCCTCATTGTTCTTCATCAGCAGCTCTTTCGGTCGATGTGTGGTCGACTTTGGAAAGCAAGCGTTACGTGATGAGTGTATGCGTGATAACCACATTTTGCGTCCATTGCTGCAATGAAAGCGGATCCTATTCTGATGGAGGAGGCTTATTGGATAGCGGAAGGTATTTATTGTGTTGTACCTTTTGACTGTAGTTTGTATAGTGAAATCTTCGGCTCTGTAAAGTTGATTCGATTGAACCTTATCATATAACTCACAAAGAAAAAAAAAACAAAAACGATCTTTAATATGTCATGCGAAGTTTGAGGTCAGTATAAGCATTTTTGTTTGTTTTGTGTAAGATTTATCTATTTTGACTCGATATTTCGATGTTATAGGATCTCGAATGATCGCAAATAATCGCAGCTGATTTTTCGCTTAAAGCTTCCATACCTGTCATTAATGCTCAATAGATGTAATCACAAAAAATACAGAATGTATTAACTTTTTTACCAAAAAAAAAAAAAAAATAAATAAAAGGACGAACTATTGGAACGAATCCTAAATTTAGCAAAATAAACTGATATCATGTGGAATATATACTTCAATGCCTGTTTGATCAATGCATATGTGACCAGTGCGCAAAACGCTCAGGTTCAATGAGTCATTTTCAAATGAATATGAACAGCCATCCGCCTCATCATTCACTGCCTCGTGAGAGTCTGAATGATTCGGAAGTAAGTCACTGTCATTGGCAGCAGAGCACTCATTCAGTAGCTCAGTCAGCACGTTTATTCTTCCGTTATGGTACCCCATCCTTGTTTTGAATGACTGAGCGTACATTTTATATGGAAAAATGCCTCAATTACATGCTGTGTGAGCGAAAGCCAGCGGTGTGAGTCGCCTGTTCATGAGTGACTGAATGTTTTTGCTTGCTCTTTCGTTGCCTAGTCTTTAAATGTGTACGGTCTGGATAGAGCAATGAATTAAATAGAGCAGTTCTTTCACACTCAGCCTAAGCAGTCAATAATTTTACGCTCTGCATGTGACACAAACAGATTCAATCCGAACAGCAAGCACAGGCAAGAATACTTCCTTCAACGATCATTTCGTGCGATTTTGCACTATGCAAATACAGCTAAATTTGAATTGATATCACAACGTTGTGAGCTATGAATAAAACATAAAAGGTATAGAGCATTGTTCTCCTATGTTTTGGGTATGCACCAATTAAAAAACAATGTTGGTTAATTTTAAAAATCGACTTTTGGCCAGCTAGATTAGAAGAAATACCACTCTGTGGGGCGGTTTGAAATTTCTCCGGGAAGAGCAGACTATTTACAAGATTCCACTGACCAAATTGGAACAAGATAACAATCCAAGGAAGAAATATACTGAAGCATTACACAATATACAATTTCATGCATTGGTATTGGCATCGAAAGCTCTCAATTAATAACTGTGGAAGTGCATTTAGTAGAACACTAAGTTGAGAGCACGCAATAAGCTAATATGCACAAAGCAATAAGCTTGATATGCGAATAAGAAGAAGAGAAACGTCTAGCTGCACTCAATCTGATTTACGTCTGTCTACCATAAAATAAAAAAAAAAAAACAAAAAAATTCAAACCATAACATTTTCCATTTAAGAAAAATAAAGGATGGTCTAAATAAACATTGATCGATTTTCTAATTTGTTAATAACATGACTGCACAATTTTTCCTGGATGTAGAAACGTTGTTTTTTCATCAAACTGTGTGTCAAAAATATTCGCAAGTGCCTTTGTACGGCCATGGCGACCCAAAGAGAATGTCTATGAAGAGAATCGATCAATGTTTTGGTGATTTATTTGAAAAATAGTTTGGAAATGCTACAATTTAATTTTAGCAATAAATGACTGAAATTTTTGAAATTTTTCTTTCTGGCATCTGAATTTACACATGCACTGCCAATTTAAGCTCTATGACTCGTGGTCCCAAACATTTCTATCAAAATTGTAATATTCTTCGAATACTCAGATTGCAAAGCTTATGGTTTTTATAATCTAAATGCATTCCATCTTATCCACTGCACGCCTATGTCACTGGGTATCGGGGTGGTTGGTCTGGTTTGTTTTTCCCATTCAAAATAGGTATTCGATTGTTTATTTTGGCGTTTTCAACATTTGCTCTTGCTAATTTTTAGTGATAACTTATTTGATTACACAGAGCTGCGGCCAACGCTTCACCACAGTAGTAATGTTCTGCTTTCATTTATTGTTTTAGGACCTTAGCGGATCACCCCTGATTTGCACCGAACGGTCAGAGGACGGAGCGACGGCACGGGTGGAACTGCGAGGCATTCTGACCTGGTCGACGGACATCAACCGGGCGCCACATCTGTTCACCAATCTGACCACCTACCGGAGCTGGATCGAAGACGAATTGGATAAACTGGATCAGCTGGAACTGTTGCAGCAATCGTCGTAATTAAGTTTAGGTGCTCTCTTGCTATTATATCGTAGTCGTTTGAGGAGTCTTCTAGTGAGATTAAACTTTTTTTTTTATTTCTTATAAGTGATACGTGATAAGTGGATTTTCACGGCAATAAAATTGCTTTTTATTATTTTTTAAATATTTGATGAGCGATACTGTTTCATTGAACGGGTAGTGCAGGGTGTTCTTATTTTGAGGTGAGAGTGTGCTTCTACGTTTAGTAGGGGGTAAAATTCAATTACGAGAATACAAGCAATCTCACGTGATGTGGTTAGACAGTGGCGTCGAGTAAGAACGTGCCCGTCTGAGTACGCGATGCAAGCAGATGCGTAGCTTCACATGATACTTTTAAGATGATAAGTTAATCATGGCAGACTTGTCTTGTTGCGTTAGATCGTGCTGATAAATGTTTTGTAAATATTCTTGTACTGAGGAGACTCATCGAACCTATAGTAAAATATAATTATTTAAAAAATTTCATGATTTGATTTGACGATTTATAGAAAAGTAGAAATACAAATACGACTTCAAAAGATTTTTATGGCGATACTACAGAAGGATTTATTGAAATTAGAGAAGGACAACCTAAATCTGGAGGCTTCCTAACATAGTGAATTGTAAACCTGTCGCTGTCAGTAATTTTCCATGAAATTTCAGATAATTTCAACCGGTCCCGGAAAAAGTATAAATTTTGGATGATTTTCCATCCCAGTGCTATAATCTGTGTTCAACCACTGTGTAATGAATTTTGAAACACTAAGGCAACGAACATGAAAGATGCATTTTGGGCCTGAACCGAAAGCAAAGGAAGAAATTGGTAGCTCTATGCCTCACTCCCACCAGCAACGCCTTCAGTGCATCGAAGACTAAACGAATTAATGGCGATACACCCCGTCACCCTTTCCCGAAGTGGGAAGAAAGCATGTGTGATTTGCCCTTGTTTGCCGATGCTTTGTCTTTTGTGACTAATATTGAAAATTTTCCACATTTTCCCGGATGAATGTGTGTGTATGCGCGGAAAGCTTTTCCCACAAAATACAATGCTGGAAGCATGCCATCATTGCTCCAGTAGTGTGATCAGCAGTCCCAGTGCACCGCGCTACTGCCTCATAATGGTACTTTCCCGTGTCGTTGTTTTTTGGGATCGAATGTGAACGAGAGTAAAGAGAAAAGCGGAAGAGACACGGTATAGAAATTTGCATAATTTACTGCTTGGCAAGGCCTCTTCGGTGATGATGATATACCCCGAAGGATGACAACGCAACGGGACGGGAGGAAACTCGTGAAGGAATCTACACATAGAAGCATGCGAAGGGAAAGTTTTCCCTCTACAGTACGACGATACGTAGCATAGGCAAGCAGCTCATTGAGCTGTTGTTGCGTTGGATAAGGAGGACATACCTACTCTGGAAAATTCCGTACGAGTGCGAAACAATCACGTTAATTTATAGTCTTTATTGTTTTATAATTTTTCATTTTCGTCCTCAACGGCGTCGTCGTCGGCGGCAGCATCTCCGACCCGGCGGAGACTTGGTAGCTTGATGCTACTCATTTTCGAAGGTGGATGATGCCATGCTGCGGAAATCAGTTGAGAATAACAATGGAGATGACAGATAACAGTTGGACGGGGTTTTACTGGCAAGAGGAGGAAAATTGAGTTGTTGAATTTGGATAGTGGGATGTGAGTGTTTGCGATGCAAGACCGATGGGAGTAAGTTATAATTTTCGCTTTTTCCTTATTCGCTTTTTAACTTATTTATATTATGATTAGTTTAACAGTTGTTAATTGAGAGTTTTGTAAATGTACCATTTTATGACTTCCCAAGCAACAAATTTTGTTTTATCAATGTTGGAGCTAATAAAAATTGGCCGCTCTAAAGTCATGTCATGACCAATTGACGCTGGGTAAATGAAATCATTAAAACATAATATGCGATCCAACTCAGGAGCAGTGGTTTTAACCCTTATGGGACGACTTTTCTCTTTACACATGAACAGTAAGGGTTACAGATTTTTCGGAAGATTTGATCGAAAATCATACAAAAAAAGCAAAATATCAGCAAAAAATTTTGTTTAGGATGTCCCAGGCCATCCAAACTATCCTGGAGTGCTTATTCTTGGTTATATTGCTGAAAACACCTGGAATTCTATGTGGTATGGTACTTAGTCATGTTCATAACATCTAGATTTATCATTTAAAATCCAATCAATTTTTTAAGTCTTCTAAATCGTACTTCAATACTTCATCATTTATGAATATAATAGTTTTAGTTAAGTTGCTTACTTAAGGCTACATTTTTTCCGATTTTTTTCCAAATCAGCTGCTTCAAAACATGCTTTCCTATGATACAGCAAAATTGAAGAAAGATGGTACACATATTGTCCCGAACGGACTTAAGTAATATATTGTTAAGAAAATCTTTAATGTTTATTAAAAAAAAAAATAGAAATACATCGTGTTATATAAGAAACCAATGACTATTTATAAAGCTGCTGAAGGAATATCAACGCTAAGTTATAAGAAACTTCTAATAGACCTTTTTTTATTCAAAAATGTTATAACATTTTTGACATTTTGAGCTAGTCTAACCTTTTTCGAAAATTTGTACAAGAGAAAAGTATTTTTTTAGACTAAAATGAAATGCATTGTTCAAGTAGGCTCCAAGCATTAAGCCTGCAAAAGATTTTTTTTTAATTATGTTCTATAAGTTGATTTTTAGGCGTAGGATATTTCAGTTTGAAACTTTACTTCTATTGATATGAGTGAGGAGGCGGGGGTTGTTTTAAGCCCCCACTCTCCAGCTACGTATATGAGATAGAGCATTTGTTTTTAAATAATTCATCTGAACATACAAAATCGATAAGATAAGAAACACCGAAATTATTTCAGTTTCGAATCTGACTCCCATTGATATAACGGCAGTGTTGGCAGAAAAAATGATTTCTGGCATTTAATTCAAACCATAAATATTTGAACAGCTATAACTATTTTTTAGATATATTCTTGCACCGTACTTCCTTTGGCAAAGTTGTTAGACACTTCCTGGCAAAATTATTTGTACATGGTCAGTTGCATGGTTCAAGCAAAATTGTGGTCTCCTCTACACACTTAGAAATTATTATTTTTACACGAGACGTAATTCAGCTTTGACGTAAATCCTGGAACGTAAACAAACATGGCATGTAAAATTAAGTGTCCTGAAACTAAAACATATGCAACTCGACGAAAACTGCGTTTGATTGAATTGATTTTCTCGTCCTTTTCAACTGATTCTTATGTCAAAAAGGCCGCTTGCATGTGTCGGTCTCAGGGCACTGAAATTTACATGTCTTTTCCGTAGTGTGTAGGGATAAAAATGCAAAAAAGTAGGTTTTCAACCAGTCGTCCCCAAACTTTGCACAGTTCTTTAAATATTTGTTTTATATCACTTCTGCGTGAAGTCAACGATTTACATAATTGAAGATGCTAATTTCAAATAACAGACTAGAGTGGTAATTCTGATACGATAGATGAGGAGATGAAAGTATAGAGTTGATAGTTCCGTTAGAGTACGGCAGTGTGAAATTGTTTATATAGAGAGTAGAAAGCGAGCAAGGATAACTTTTATGAATGAAGGTACAAATCGGTTTGATCATCTCTCTTTACCAAACTCTCCCGTTGGAGAGGGATGGTTAGGGGTATTCCCCCTCCGTACCACTGGCAAAAAGCGATGATCACCGATACGTTCAAGTACAGACGATGTGTTTGAAACAGTTCTATCGATTTTTACCACACTCAAGGTGTTTTCTGAAGGAAAGCATCCAGTCATAGGTTTGGAAATTGCAGCCATTGTTACCACTACCACGGTATGTGCTCCTGTCATAGTCGACTTGACGATCTCGAGGGTACACGGGTAGGGTACGTGCTGCTACTGTACCTTTCGACCAATGACAGTACCCTACAGTACTATAGTGCTATCTGGCTAACTTATCCTATAAGATGTTGATTATTTTTCAAATCATCGTTGACTTCAGATCATTCCACCATCATTACTTTAAACATAACTGAGTCAATGCGCTTAGCAGCGCAACATATCCAAGGTTATTTGTGGAGTCTATGCGCATCCATCAATATAAGATGTTCTAGGTCCTGCAAATCGTCTTGAAGTTTAGATCAAATTATCTATTATATCAACCACGGCTGATACAATGCCAATAACTACGAAACATGTCCAGACAGTTTCCTGGAATCAATACACGGCAGTTTCAAACAATTTTAATGTATATTAGATATTCTATAACCTCCAACAATTTTGTGGAGTCCAAACGCATCTATTACGAACGAATTACGTGTATTTAAGATGTTGTTGGATTAGCAAATCTTCCTAGAGAATATGTCATAGGATCAAGGTCAACCGGGTATTTCACGAAAGCTAAGCAGTTTTATTGAGTTCCACTTTCATGGATAAAACATGTTTTAAGTACCGTAAAACGGGGTAACATTGATAGTTTTTTAAAGTATATTCTAAATATTTTTTACAGCAATGAATGTTTTTCAAATTTTAAAACAAGTACTGAGGATCCAAGAGTCAATTCGTTAGTAATATGTTTAACGGAAATTAAAGCATTTAAACATTTTTTTTAGTTTTGTGACCGAACTTCAGTGTTTTGATTTGGGGTAACTTTGATTATGCTCGATGAATGTAGAAAAAAAAATAGTGAAATTCAATCAATTTAGTTCTTTTAATATGAAACTTTGAATGAGTTTATAATCAGAAGACTTCATAACCAATAATAATACAATATTGAATTTGTGATGGCTATATCGAAAATACATTTCATAAGTGATGGTTTGAGTGCTTTTTCAAACAGGCCAAAAACACGAAAATTGTTTTATAATATGTTTGTAAAATAAGTAACACATACTATATAAAAACTCTATACGATATCAACGGAAATTCCCTAAGCTACAAAATGGAATCAATGTTTCTAATTTGGGAAAAGCGCAGCGAGTAAATTTAATCTTTATATTATACTATCAATGCTACCTTCATTATCAAAGATACCCCGTTTTACGGTAATCCAAATTATCATTTGATCTAGCAAATAAGCCTCATTTGTTCTAGGCTAAAAATTTGTCCTTGCCTTTGTACCAGTCGTGGCTGATTGAGT